CCTGTGGCCTGCTGTCTTTGTTGCCATGGAGATAGAGAGGCCAACTCTGAAGACTGACATGGAGGGGACTGAGAATAAACTGTTCATTCCACTTCATTAAAGATACAAACATGCAGCAGCAGACTTAAACAACACCATACCCTCACCCCAAAGCCCACTCGTTCCTAAACTCCCAGCAGAAAGGATGGACTTTGCAGCATGCCCAAATATTAACAAGTTAGGGCTGTGGTACACAAAGGTGGAGTGAATTCATGAGTCCAAAACTTTTCCTGGAGAATACCCTGCTTGCAGCACCCCATCCCTTTAAATTCAGCATGGTTCAGCTCAAGCTCCTCCACTGGCAGTATTACAGAGAGAGAGAGAGAGAGAGACAGGCAATTATCCAGGTAACCAGGTTCCAAACCACTTATTGATTATCCAATAAACCCAACACTTTGTATTATACCTGGAAAAATACTGGCTGCCAGTGCAGATCCTAGAGCATTGGTGTAATGCAACACCTGTGCAATATTGTACTTAAGCAAGATGCCACATACTGCACCACCTTTAATGTTTGTGTGGTCTCAACAAATAGCCTAACACGCAGAACGTTACCATAATCTAATCAAACTTCAAAATAGGGTTAGTCCACTTAGTTCTTGATTCATGATCTTTACTGGACTCCAAAAAAAGACAAAAAGACAAAAATAAACCAAAAACCCAACAACCCAAAACAGAAACACATATCAGAGATAAATACTGGTGGTGTACCATGGAAAACAGTGGCATATTGTACATACTTTGGAATTTTGTAGCACTACAGAAATACTGGGAAAAATACACAAGTTGTGGATGAACTATTGGAACAAAATGAAATATCTTCACTGGTCAACTCTCCCGACTATAATTCTACCTCTTATAATCAGAAATTCCTGAATATTCTTTTTTCATGTGCAATTTCATGTCTTACATGACAATGGAAATCAGACAAGGTTTTCACAGTATATGCATGGGCTCCAGAAGCCTCAGTGTGCCGCCTATGATGAAAAGGCTTAACACTGAAAAAAAAAAAAATCACACCACTTTGGAATCCTTGGGCTAGACAAAATGTTATAAAACAGATTGTTTCTTTCACTCTACATTCTTGGGCCCTGATACTCAAAAGACACACACAAATACTTATCCCTGTGCACTGAGAGTAGTCCCACAATAGTCAGTAGAACTACTGATGGTATGTAAAATTTAAAATGTCGGTCTGTCTTTACAAGGTCATCAGGGCCTTTGCAAAAATCGAAGTTCTGCCAGATGGAGGAAGAATCTCTATGATAGTTCCTGCATGTATTAAAAAGAAGTGGTTTTTTTAAAATGATTTTTCCATGTTTGCCATCTGACCAGGAATAGCTATATTGCCAGGATGATCTGGGTCTCTCTCATCTAATAATTTCCAGACCATTGCAGGGGCTGGAACACTTTGGTCTAATTTCAGTTGTTGGGTTTAGTATACGGGTGCTGGTTGGTGTTGGTGGCCTGGGATACAGAGGAGGGCCGAGTAGAGTGTGTTTTGGGGGGGGGTATGCTATTATTTATGTCTGCTGCTGCATATTTGTACCTTTAATAAAGTAGAATGAACAGTTTATTCTCAGTCTATGGCAGTCTTTGCAGTGTGCCTTCCATCTCCATGGCAACAAAGACAGCAGGCCACAGGAACCCAGCTCCCAGCCTTAAACTCTATGACTATGATCACCTGAGTCCCAGGAAGTCCAGGTGCAGACAAGGTCTGCAAGGTTAGATGCTTTCATTAAGGTAGGGTTTCTAAAATTTGGATGGAATCCTACTTGGAAGGGTTATAAGTGGCTGCAGGAGCTGAAGTCCAGCTGAAAGGCATAAAAAGAAAACAAAGAAAGGCTGGGCTAAGGTAAGTGTAGTGGGGCGTCTGCCCAACCCCCACGCTAGAGGGGGCTGCAGCAGGCCAGTGCGCCTGCGCAGACCAGCAGCCAATAAGAAAAGGGCTTACTAGGGGCCAATCAGAGCCAAATTGGAGACAGCCAATCAGGGCTCAGCTTGGCCCTATATAAAGGCTGCCCAGGAAGGGAGCAGGCAGTCTGTCCCAGACCTTTGACAGGGGAAGGTCTGTCTCCAGAGCGGGGAGACTAGCACCGCGGACAGCGCAGTGCTGGCCAGGCTTGGGGAGCAGAAGGGAGCTCTAGCCCGTAGCCTGCCAGGCTGCAAGCCCTGAAGGAAAGGGCCTACCGGGTGCAAGGGGCCGTAGGGGAAGCGGCCCAGGGAAGTGGACAGATGAGGGGAGAGGAGGAGGACAGCAAGGCTGCCGCCAGAGGGTCCCTGGGTTGGGACCCAGAGTAGAGGGCGGGCCTGGGTCCCCCCTTGTCCTCCTTGCCGTACACCCGGCCATTGGCCGAGGGGAGCGGCCATCACAGACTACGCCAGATCCCTGACAGGAGGGATTAGACTTTGGGGGTGTGGTTGGACATGGTAGCTGGGGCATAGAAAGACTGCTGATCGATCACACACACACACACACCCCGGAAGGGGGTGTGGATGGACTAAGGGGGCACTGCCGGAGGGCAGTGATCCTGAAGAGGACGCCACGAGCTGGAGAGCAACCAAGGGCGAGACAACGGGCGGGACACCACCGGGAGAGGGCGCTCCATTGGACTGAGCTAATACCTGGAGATAACCAGCAGGATGCGCTGCGGTGGTGAGTCCCAACCCTGTCACAGTAAGCAAAAGCATTGACTCAAACTGTGACAATGCTGTGGACTTAACTGATCTCACACCAGTATAAATCAGAAGTACCTCCACTGAAGTCAACAGAATTATGCAGCAATAAAACTAGTGTAAATCAAGCCTCATGAGGATCTCTTTCACCTCAGGAAAAAAAAAAAGGGAGGCCTTTTATCTGGGTCTATTCATATTCCAGAAAGGGGTTATTGTACTTTTTTGTATTATGGGAGCTACTGTCACTGACACAGAGAGACCCTACAAGGCGACCGCAGTAACAACCTTCTCAACTCCTTTAGAAACATGCATTAGATCTACACCATCATATGAAATGGTGCAGGTTCAATTTCATGTCATGTTCCTTTGCTACCAGAGCCAGCAGAGGCCATCAGTGCTATTGAAGCAGCACACTCAGCTCCCTTGTGAATGGGGAATAATTACTCCCTCCACAGCAGCACTGGAAGCTAAGCTCAGCCTAGCAACTGCTGTGAAGTAGGGCAAACTCTTACAGGGAAGTAAGAGCATATCAGAATTAAGGATAAGACAGGGAATAAGTTAACAGTCTTATTCAGGAGAAGATTTGGAAAGGAGTGAACTCATCTGGCCAGGAAAAGAAGAGATCCAATGGACCATATGACAAGGAAGAGAAGCAATCCTAGGATAGAATGAAGCAAGCCAGCTCAAGGGAAGAGCCCAGATTGTATTTGCTAGCCCTGGAGAGAAGTGCAGTAGCACAATCCCTGTTATCCCAAAGAGCTGGGATGTCTTGGGGACAGTAGAACCACACTGCACTGTATATTGATGAACCCCTTCTAATAGATGTAGTTATACAGAGGGGTGTTAATGATAGGCTGCAGTTTTCCCCAGTTAAAAGCCACTACATGAGGCCTTAAGAGCAGTGCAAAAATAATTAAAAAAATAAAAATAAAAAAATAAAAACCATTTCATGGTACACCAATATAAAAAGCAACAAAAAAATACCTGAACAAATTTTCCCCACAAATGACTTTTATGACTTTTCAGGAAAAAAATGACTCAGATGATGAGATCTTTTATAGCAGCTCTCCTCCAGCAGCAGTATTTTATGACTAAGAAATGAATAAGCCTCCAAAACCAGGGATTTATAAGGGACAAGCTGACAAAACCTCACCAATGAGTACAAAACCTAGTGAATACTGCCAGAACAACAACAGTATTTGAACAACTGGATATGTAACTACCTATTCATTCAGCACATGAAATCCATGACTCCAAGAGGATAGGGGCAGGGAGGAATGGCTTTTGGGAAATATTATAAATAGATTGTGTAAAATTGGTCATTTATTGAAACTAACTGTTCAGGGCTACATTACAACCAAAGAGCATAGAAGTTGCATTGTTGGAAGGCAGTGTGGAGTGCAGCTGCACCAGGGAAGTGATTGAAGGCATTCTGCCTTGTGAGGACACATGGCTAGCCTCCACCTCCCACTTTAAAATAATTAGATATTTAAAATCAAAATAAATAAGCAAATGAATAAGGCACATTTTCAACCAGTACACATCACAGATAAAATACTGCATGTTGTTATTTTGCAGACTGATACCCTTATACTTTATTTCCCCACCAAGATCTGTCACCTCTCATTGTCTTTGTCTCAGACTCTCTCCTCGGGGCAGGGACACTATCTTTATTTGTCTGTACAGCTCCATGTACACTGATGGTGATTTATAAATAACAAAATAATAATGGCTAGCTATGGGGCATATTTAAAAGACACATAGTTGGCCTTCAGCCCTCATTTTGGGCAACCCATTGTAAGTTATTAAAGGGCTTACAAGTTCAAGGCCTTTAAAGTGTACAAGGCAATAAAGACGCTAGTATTCCATTGCAGCCTGTGTGTTTTGCTTTTATTTTGGGGCTAGTTTGGTCTCTTCATCCTCCCATCATGTTCTCTTGATGGTACCCTTTGAATAACTATTCTGATCATTTTGCTTTTTAGTGTCTCTCATGGTTTTACACAAAAGCAGAGTCTTTCCTTCCCTTTGTCTCTTTGTTCTTTCATCTGGCTCCACGGGATCCATTAATGCTTTGCATTTACCTTTCTTCCACCTTTTCACAATGACAGCTATCAGCTCACCAAGCTAATTATCTACAGTCGTAAGATGGAAGCAAAAGAGAAATGAACAGGTGGACTGCCCTTATTGTATTGTGATTTGGAATACAAACCAAGTCATTGCAACAAAAAAGCAGGCGCAACTGTGTGAAAGATAAACAAATCTTTAAATTGAAAGTTAGACAATACCTTTTGGTGGGTGAAGTTTGTGACCTGTTTTCTCACACCATCCAGCTGGATGAATGTCTGAAGAATCAGCATTCACCCAGAAGTCGTAACAATCCAAGTATTCATCAAAATGGAGGCGTATCCTGTAGCCTAAAACCTAAAAACAGTTTGCAAAGTGTACAACTTAGTAAAAGTACACTTGAGCATAATAGTCTCTGTACCTAAATATATTCAATGTGCATTCAACCAACTTTTTATTTTTGTTCATGCCAATAATATAAAAATACTGTAATGCAGTTTAATAAAGGGAAGAACAAAAAGCAAGACTGCAACAGATCTGAGCACCTCTCTGATGAAAACCCCTGTATAAGTGCTAATAATAATAGTATTATTATTCATTCAGAGTATGAGTGGCACTTAACATAGTGCTAAAAGAAAATAGAAACCTGAGAGATATGTCTAGACAACCTCTTTTGAAGGACAGGTCATTATAACAAGGAGATAATGAGGGTCATTATGTAAGAAGAAGTGTAAATGTGAAAGGGGAGATCCCAAAGGACCCTATTCCGCAATAAAAAAAAGTCACCTTAGTGCCTAAGAGAGAAAGAGGAGATGCAGCTCCTCTTCACTGCTGAAGTCTCCTACGTGCTAAATGTCCATACCATCTCCCACAATTTTCTGGGTGCCAAATGCCACTACTATCCTATAACCAGCTGTCAAAGCATCCTGCTTCCCCAGGATATCTTCTACAAGGCAGTCTATTTGTCAAAAGACAAACCAAGCATATTGAGAATTTAGGGGTGGCTTAAAATAAATCAAATTTAATATCAAAATAAGCAACAAAAAGGAATTCATGTACTCATTGCACTATTCTTTTTTATATTTAATTTACTCAAACTTGCCATAACTTAAATGTAACTCAAACTAAAAGAATTTTCAGTTTGCCACATTAGAATTTCACAGTACTCAGGGCACTTTGCCACAGAATTTAGGTCCAGCTTACTACAGAGGACTTAAGGCCTTGGTTATACTGATCTTTGACGTCAGCACATACAGCAAAAGACATGTCAGAAATAGATATTTTCAGAAGGAGGATGTGATTAGCTGTGGAGGGGCTCAGAAATGGGGAAAATAAAAAAATAAAAAAAGAACTAAACTAAACTAGGACTATGGACATATAATCATAGTGGTACAAAATAATGACAGTACACGACAATGAATATCAGGTGTTCCTGTTTCCCCATTCCCTAAATTAAGGAAAAAAAAAAAAAAGAAAAAAAGAAAGAGAGAGAGAGAGAGAGAGAGAGAGAGAGAGAGATAATTCTGTCTCTCTTAAATCACACAATTAAAATCCATAGAACTATTCACAGAGTTAGATACTACCCAATGTAAGTAAAGGTGGCAGAATTAAACCTGTAGTGTAAAATTAGTCTGTGGAACTTGAAGCTACGGTTCAATAAAATAGAAAAATGATTAGATAATGTTATGAATAAGCATAGCATCTGTAGTTGGAATAAAAATTCAAGGGCTATCAATTTTCATGCATCTTTATGTTCTATATTTAAAAGGGGAAATATAAAGATTTCTCCAAAATTACAGAATTATACAGATACTTATGTATCACCATAACACTAAAATATTATGTATTCATATCCATGAACATGTGTAAGTGTTCCTTGATATTTGGATATTGTTTTTAATATGATTTCTGGTACAATTTAATAAAATTTTATGCATTAGGAAAAAATATTCCACATGGTATAGCATTAGGCAATTAGTTGCCTAACAATAGTTTACATCTTTCTCTGAAGAATCTGTCACTATTACTGCTAAATGCAGCACTAAACAGAGCACAGTTCCAGTATAGTATTTACTGTATTCTTAATACACTTCTATTCTCAGCCTCACACTTCATTCAGGTACAGTCCTGGTGCTTACCTCAGCCACAGTGAGAATGCAGTACATTGACTGGTGTTCAGGATCCACTCCTTCCAGTTTCATTCCTACTTTGAATCCATTTTTGCCATATGGGAAGGACTGATACTGGAATGAACAAAAACAGTTTCAATATTTCAAAAGAAATACTTCAAAAGAAAGTTAAAACACTTGTGTAGTGCACAACACGATTGTTATTACTTATCCTTATGCAGGCATCTGCTCAAAATGAAGTCTCAAGTATATTTGGGTAAATTTCAAGCTTTTAAAATCATATAATGGAAAATAGAACTTAGCAAGCCGTGGAAAAACTTGCTGATAGTGCCATCATTAAAGACTTTAAAATGCAGAAAAAATCTGTTAGGAGGAGCTACCGGGAAAACCTCCTCAGAACTGTAGAAAACGCTGTGTTTCATCAACTTTTTTAATTACTTTCTAATTAAAAATACAGTACTGTAAGGTTAATTACTTATTTTGTACAGTGACACCTTCTTGGCAATCACCATTCATGGGATGATCAGATAAAATACTCTGAAATGCCTTTTAGTTTCTACATCTCAGGCCACAAAGATGAGCCACAAAGCAAATACAGAACAGCCTTCATATATAAAGATGGCCTCTCACATGGTAATACTCCCTTTGCTGTGTACAGTAGAGAGAAAATATTGGGCTCTGACTAGCCTCTTTTTCCAGGAGGATTCTGGCAATCAGTAGAGGACTGAGAACATGAGATCATATGAGGATGAAGCCTATGCTGCAGCCTTCAATAAAGGGAAGAGGGCAGAAAGGGCATCTTAGGGAGTCAGGTACCGGCTGCCTATTATATCATGTTCTCTGTGCTCCTGACAAAGTTAGAAGTCAAAGTCATCAGTCCTTAATACTTTAAATTAAAGAAAAAAGCAGAAAAATATTAATAAAATAAGGCAAGAGAGTGAAACTCTAACACCACCTTTTGTAAACTATTAAGATTTTAAGCTACTCAGGTAAGTAAAGTATTTCTTTTGCATTCAGTGCTGTATGAGACATAGTCAGTGGTCAACAATAAATTAAAGAAGTGGGGAAGGGTTTTAACATTTTTAAAATTAGGGTCATGCCCCGACAATATTCCTTCCTACAATGGGTTAGGATATAGGTATTTCTACTCGAGTTGGAATTTACACCTTGCAGCTCCAGTATAGCTCTGATCAAGCAAGTGTGCTACAAACAGAAGAGCAGCCGCCATGGCATGATGAGCTAGCTGCCCAAGTACATAGGTAGGATCATACTCGGGGCATCCAGCCCACCCCGCTACTCGCACATCCATAGCTCCACTTCTACCTTTAATGCGCTAGCTCTATCTAGTGTGGGTACATCTCCTTGAGATGGAAATGACATTTTATGTGCCAGCGTAGACATACACCATAACTGTAATTAATCACGAAGCAGTAAAGTGTACAATCAAAAACATATTATTGCTTGATAGCTCATCTTTAACCACATTCTGTTTTTTATCTGAAGATGTACCATTAAAGCTTCATTAAAAATTGTCATAGAAACTAATAATCAATGTCCAAATCATTCCTCTAGTAAACACAGGCTTTTTCCATTAAAAGATATAACCTATGATCAGATCATACACTTTTCTTTTTAATTCTTCTTTCTGAATCTTAAGAAAATATTACATGCTGTATGTACTGACAAATAAAAGCTATGCTTTAATGACAGCGTTGCAGCACGATACACCCATGTGCCCAAAACCTTAAGAGTAGGGAAATAAGAGGAGGAAATATTAGTGAATTCCTTTCCACCTTCATACTGCCTACAACACGGTATTCAATAACACTCTTCAGTGCTCCATAAGGATCTCCCTTCCATCTCTAACAGACACCCAAAAGCAATACATACAACGTAAGTTTGATGAAGCTGGGGAAACACTAAACTTCACACGCTTTTATATTAGTTATATCAACATAACAGTACATCTGACTGTCATACATTTCATGCATTTGGGAAGTTATTTTGCCTTAAATCACCACTGAGGTCACTGTTTAGGTTTTGCGTTAAAGTGCAAATTTCATGTAGATGGGGTACTTACTTCCAAGAGGTACCAAAAAGCAGTATAAGTGGCATTTTTTTTTAATCATCAGATTTAAATTTGGTAAGTTTATCTTAGCGCACATATTTAGTCACTATGACTAAAGAGTTACGAAATACTCAATAAGCAAACAATCCTGAAGTATAACTGATATTCTAGGAATCAGCATATAAGGGGTAACAACATGCTCAAAGGACAGGCCCCAAAGTGTAAGTCCACACTGGAGCTGGGAGCCTCCCAGCCTGAGTAGACAGATACACACAAGCAGGGCTCGAGCTAGTTCACTAAAAATATCAATGAGGACGTTCCAGCTCAGGCAGAAATTAAGGCTCTGAAGCCCACCTGTCCCACCAGGCTTCAGAGTCCAACATCCAGCCCAATACCCTTACTAGTGTGAGTCTGTCTACCCAGGCTGGGAGGATTGCTCCTAGCTGCAGTGTAGACATATCCAGAATGGCTTAGATTTCTTGTAAAGGGGGAAGAAAGGTGAGAAACACCCTTCCCCAAATAATTCACCAAACACCAATTTTTCCATAGTTGTTATAAACTTTCCAAAATTTCAAATTGTATAGCCAATACATCAAAAATTCTGGAGTTAGCCAAGAATTATAATCCATTTTTTGTGTTACTAAAACTCCAAGTCACAAGATATTCATCATTCTTTCCACTATCAAATTGAAACTCTCACAACCTTAAATACGGGTCAGCTCCTGTTGCACCACAGTAACAGCTAAAGTTTAAAATGTTGTGCATGATTGTAATTATATCATAGATCACCTAAGATACAATTGCATTGGGCTTACTATATTTACATTACCTTTGTCACCAACATTTAAAGATTTTTTGGGCACAAGGAGGCCAGCATAGAGAATGAAAAGAATATAGAGGTTCATGCAGTAGAGACACTGTTTTGACAATCCCATGCGATGTGAGAAGGAATAAAAAAAGAGAAAAAAACTGAAGTGGGGTCATAATACAGGAGAGTTAGAAGTATAAAATAAGAGAGTCAGTTATTTCATTTTACCAGAGCAACCGCTACTTGTTGAAGTTAGAGCTTAGAAAAAGTATCTACAGAAAAGTTGATTAAAGTACTGAGAACAGTAGGATATTCTGCCTTTCCCTAATCCAATGCAAGGAAAAAGAAAAAAAAATATTGCAGGGGCACAACCCTTTTCTCTCTCACACACACACACTCTTCCTATCCCAAACAGCTTACAGTTTAAGTTTAGAAAAAATGCCAAAAGGTGGATGCAAAAAACAGACAGGGTAGTACAAGGTAACAGTCAGACAATTATGATTAGAATAAGTAGCAGCCGCAATCACAGTTTACCAGCTGCCTAGACATTGTCAAGTGTTTTGCAAGCACCACGACTAGAGGTGAGTTTTAAAGAGGGATCTGAAGGAGGACAATGTACTGGCTTTGTGGATTTTTATTGGGAACTTCCTTCCATGCAAAAATGGATGCCATGGGAGAAAGCACTAAGTTGTTTGATGGGAAACTGGACAGATGGGTGACAAAGGTCAGCATAGTTGGCAAAGGAGAAGCAGAAGTTGATATTTTGGCACCCAGCAAGATGAAGCCATGTTGTGTTTGATACAGTGAAAAAGGGGGAGTCACTGGGGGTTGCAAAGTCAGAGCAACAAGCCAAGAAGATGATCTTTGTAACAGACTAGTGAATGGATGTAAGGAGAACAAGGCAGCATCTGGAAAGCCCAAAATGAAGAGACTGCAGAAGTCAAGACATGAGAAAAGGAGGGTCTGGATCAGAGCTTTAGCTGTGTGAACAGAGAGGAAAGTCCAGATCTTGGAAATGTGCAGGAACAAGCAGAGAGATTTGAAAAGGCCTGAATCCCATATTCAGTGTAGATTTCATAGGATAATATCACAGTCAGATTTGTGAGTTATTAATTCACTGAGAAAAGCTGCGCAAAAGGTGACCTATCATCCACACACTCTTCATGATTATTTATGGAAATCTGTTACTTTAATCATTGACAGACTTCCTTTAGAGCAAACCAAGAACTTACAAAAGTCTTTTTATAGTCTGGTTATTCTACCTTACAAATTTACTTCCTTACAAATGTCATGCTAATGGATGATTAACTTGGGTTTCAGAAGAAAACAAACCTCTTTAAAAAGCTTAGTAGGTGCTGCTATAGCCTTTTCTTCCTCCAAATATGAAGCCCAGCACCATGGTTTCTTTCCTTTAGAATATAAAGCTGCGAAGAAACATACAGTGTTAAAATAAATATTTTGGCAAAATGACTGAATTGCTGACTTCTCAAAGAAAGCAAAATCAAAAGAAAAAATTGATGTGTGTTTCAAATTTCTATTTTGTAACATACATGTATTTAATTTCTCAGAACTTACTACAGAAAATCTATTCAAAAACTACTACTCTACTAACGGCCTTATTAATTACTAAGTACTATTTACAGACAAGACTAACTACTATTTACCCTGACAAGAATACAACAGTGAAGCAACACAGCAGTCATTGCAAGCTCTGACTCACAGCCATGTGTGGTTAAGAAGGAACTGGGGAGCGGGCTGGAATGGGCCTGCCCTTTATATCCTCAGTTGGAGGCATGAGGATGCCCAGGGTGCAAGTGCTGCCAAATAGGTACCAATGACCAAAAGTCTCTGGCTTGAGGGCACTGGGAGCTTGTGCACCAACAGTGGACAAGATATATGTGGGCAATCACTCGAAGGGGAAGCAAGAAGCTAACAGTATAGCAAAACCCAGGAACTTTGAAGACAGATGCCTCACAAGCTTTGTCATATAATTGGCACCTCACTTCTGACCTTTGCCTTCTTCACCCCTGCAGCATATATAGCTTGTCATTTTAGATTGTAAGCTCACTGGGACAGGGACAGTTTGTGCAGTGCATAGCACAATGCTGCCCTGATCCTGACTGGGCAATACCACAACAGAAATAACTAGTATCATCAATTATAGTCTAATTATTTTAACATTTATATAATTTAGATCTGCATCATCTACATCTGTTCTGGGCTCCTCCTGAAGAAAACAAGTAATACCCCCAATTATGTGTAAGTGTTGGGAGTACAGAAACTATTTGGGACTAATATAAACTCGATTTTGTTCATTTGCTCATTTTGTGATTTAAGCCATATTTGAACTTAGATCTCTAGATGTGTTATCTAACAATAACATAGATTAAAATTCTCGCTTCTGAATCTAAAAATCAGAACCTTTATTCAAAATCCTTTTGCTGAAACCACACTTCCATTAAATAAACTATAGAAATGTGCACAGATCATTCTGCCAGTGAACAGTAGCATTTCCATCAGCAAACCAGAGTTCCTTTATCATACCAATCACACAGTCTCAGCTTTGGAACAAATGTCTGCATAAACAACACTTAAACTTCATCAGTAAATTACAGTTGTGTCAACGATGGCTCTTCTGCACTCCAGGTGCTTTAGTTCGTTTGCATGGCTCAGCTCCCTGGTGGGTAGCTGAGCTACTTTAGGCTCTCTCTTTGTTAGTGGCCAGGCAGCTGCTGCTAATGGAGGCTCATTCAGTATGGGCTCACAGTCTATCACAAGAACTACCTTGAAGGGCCTTTTGCAGGTTTCTGGTGGTGCATCACTGATATAAAATAACTGCTGATTCTGCTGATTTTCCTAAAAATATCTACCATATTAATGGACTGAAATGACTGCACTCATTTAAAAATATTTTATTGTGCTGCTTTGAGTGGAATACGACCCTTTGGACTGATTGTAGCAATTATTCCTAAACATTTCCATAAATGCATCTAAATTTCGTGCACATACTTAGATTTGGAAGGATTAGATTTTTATCAGTAAATGTCAGTAGACATCAATTTATCTGTATACCTACACAACAAAAAAAGATATTTCAACTGAAAATCGAAATTTGTAGATAGGCAAAATAAGAAAAATGCTGTCTGAGAACTTATTAGTTTGATTTAAGGATATTTACTTTGCATATTTTGACATATGATGTTGACAATTTGTGTTTTGTAGCCCACGAAAGCTTATGCTCAAATAAATTTGTTAGTCTCTAAGGTGCCACAAGTACTCCTGTTCTTTTTGTGGATACAGACTAACACGGCTGCTACTCTGAAACCTGTGTTTTAATGGTTATACGTTTATAACTTTTTAAATCTCACTGTCTACTGTCATTAAATAATTGTCTGACTGCATTGTTATCTGATCCCCCCATAATTTTTCACAATTGTGAAAATTTAACTAAATAAAAATAGAAAAAAATGCTTAAAAATAATTATCCATCAAAATTATAAAAAATAAAAATCAAATTCTGCCAAGCCTACACATATTGTAGTTAAGAAATTACTCTCAGAAGACGCAAAAGTAAACGGTTACTTCTGCTAAATGCACATCCTTGAATGGCTGTAAAAGTGAAAGGAGTAATCCTATTTATCCAGCAAATCAACAGGTCTGCTTCTCATTTACACTAAGGCCCCTTTACACCACTTAGGCGTCACGAAGGAGCCTTAAAATGCATTGCATTGATCCCTACTACAAGCACCTTCACATTGCCAAAGTCATGTAAAGAGGTCTTAGGTTATGCCTACATGGCAACATAAGCCCGCGCCTGAGCTCAGGCTCAAGCCTAGCTTCCCTTGCATCTATGCTGCAATTGCACTAGCCAAGGGCTTGGACCCAGGGTCCCAGGACCCTGCAGGGTTGGAGGGTCTGAGCTCGAGTTAAGCCGAGACCCTATTGCTTTGCAGCGTAGACACAGCTCTACTTGACTCGGGTCCCGGGAGTCAAACAGAAGTATCTCACAATTCCATGGGACAACTTCCTTAATCCGCTCTATCCCACCAATCTGCAATCTACCCAGCTCAGGTCAGCGTTAACCCATTCTCTTCTGATCACTGATTTGCAAGGACACTATCAGAAAGGTCCCTGGGTTTGCAATGGAGAGCGAACTGATCAAGATTTTTTCAAAGCAAGCTGCTTCCTAATAATGTCCAGGGCAGGCAGTGAAGTTTTCCCCACAGTGCACCACAGTCCTAGGACTAGAGCGGCCTCTCTCACAGGGGAGGGGATGCTAGGAACTCTGCGACATGGTTACTTTGAATCGAGTCTGTGCACTGCAGTGTGGATGTCAGAGCCCTAGGTTTGAGCACAGGTTAGAAACATAGGGTTAAAATACAACACAGACATTCAAGCCCAGGGTGCCCTAACATGGGTCAGCTGACTCAAGTCCCATTAAACCTGGGCTTACATTGCAGTGTAGACATGCCCTTAGTGTAGAAGAGAATCAGGCTCCAAGTGTTGGCTACTTTCCTCAAGATTACCTTTAATCCACTAAAAAATATCATAATTGTTATAAAGAATTTAAATGGTAGAATTAGAGACTATAAATCCAGTGCTATAAAATTCGTAGTTCTCCATAGACAGTACATGATCTCCCCTTGCTGCATACATAAACAAATGACGCTTCTGAACCTCCCCCCCCCCCATATTTCAACTTACGTTGCTTTAAAATGGCCATATCACCTTTTCTTTTTCTTCTGGCTCTCTGAGAGACTCTCAGTATCCTCCCTTCATGCTTCTCCTCCTAGATTACAAAATTTAGGAATTTAATAATTTTATTAGTTTTGTAGCCAATTCAAGCTAAAAGAACATATCCATGGTTCTTACGTTTTTTAAAACAGTTATTGTTGTTGCTCTATAATATCAAACTTCAAGCTGTACATTTCTAATGATAAATAAAAAAATAAAATAAAGGAATAGTCCCAGCAAACACTAAGAGCTATGGACAATTCAAAGGACCTTCACACTCGAACTCAAACGCTTTAAAATCAGTTATCATTGTCTGAGCTGTGGAGATTCCAGATCACAGACTCTTCAGAGGCTGATTGAGCTGGAGCCAGCTGGCATTCTCCACTGTTCTCACCTCTTCAAAAATAAATAAATAAATAAATAAATAAATAAATGTTTTTCCTCTAACAATTTTAGCCTTGTCCATATGTCAAACTACTTTCCCCCCCCCCCCAAGTTCCTTATGAAATGTAAACTGACACAGCTCCATTTTACTTATTGTTTGCGCATCAATAGTTTTGCTAATGCCCCACGTAGTTCATGGATTCATTTGAGAGATTGCTGCAGTAGGAAGGCAATGAAGCCGCCTCCTAAGTTTTTCCCATAAGAATGTCATATGGACAATTGCATATTTCCCTCCCATAATCCAAGCAGTTTCTGCCTTTGACTATTCCATAACTCCAAATCTCTCCCTCTGCTATTGCAAGGTATAAAGATTTTCTTGATTGTCGTTAGCAGAATGGTTGTAAGTAAGAAGAACTTTAATTCAAAAAGGGAAACAAAAATTTACCTCCAAATCATAACATATATTAACATAAATAAGACAGCATCAAATAGTAGGCCATATGACATACTATGCTTATGACGGCTGTTCTACTACTTTATATTACATTTTATATAATTTTCATTTTTACTACGACAATAAATGCTCCAAACAACGTTTCATAATGCATAAGGTTAGACCAGTGACAGTTTCTGGCATGTACATCCAACGGACTTCAGAAAATACACATGTAAAGAGGCAGCTAGCTGGAGGTTTATAATCAGCTACAGCACATGTGGTACCCTGGACAAAGGCAAAAATCACCCCCCACCCCCCCTCACCCTCACACATGCCTTTTACATTCTGCTTCTTCTGTATCAAAAATAAATAATTGTGCTGGTATCAAGAAAAGATATGTCAAGCACAGAAGAAATGTTTCTCCTAAATGTCAGCAAATAATTATAAGTAACAACCGTCACTATAAACCAGAGCCTGATAAATTTCTATTACAGAGCAAGCAGGCATAACCCTAGCAGAGACCCATGTGCTCTCCTGAAGGCCAGAAAGCTGTGGGAGTTATTTTACTCATGCTTGGAAACATCAGCAACAGAGCATAGTAAGAACTGCACCACAACAATGCCAGTCGAGTATCTAGAAACCAAAGGCAGTATTAAAGCATAGCTAAAATAGGTCAAAGACAATGAGACTACCAAGGAGATAGTGACATGATGCGAATTAAAAAAGTGACAAGGCAATCAAAGAAATGTGAAAAACTGCTATGGCTTTAAGCAAAAATACGTTCATTTTGAAGAGATCAAAATAGAGAGACTAGGTCAGGGAACTCTGTAAATTAACATGCTGGTTATTTCTTTATCTACACTAAATACAATTTCACAAACTGGCTTTCTGCAGAATTTTTTTTTTTTAAATTATCTGGATCATTTCCTGAACACAATGAGCCAAATTCATCCCTGATGTATTACACCATGGATGATTTTGGCCAAATTTCTAATCTTTTTCACCCAGGAGTTGCTACTAGACTTTAATATCTGCATAATTTTCTACGGAGGTGCAAGCTCATTGCTAGCCATAAGCCAGTACTCAAAGAAAGAACCAAAAATGTTTGAGATTCACCTTCCCCTACTCATATAATGATGAAAATAAAAACTAGCCACAATTGGATCAAAGAAAATCCTGTTAAATGAAAAGACAGACATCAGAGCAATATTCTTGCATAGTTTTTGCATTTAATAAAAATCAAGAAAATCAAAGTTGTTTCCCATAATTGTAATATGATTCTCTTGCAAACAAGATATTAATTTCCATGCATCAGTTTATGTGCAATGCAAGTAATGATTGTTTTAGAAACTGTATATTCTAATTTCCTTATTTTTCTGTGCTTAATGTTCCAACAACACTGTCTTAAGCACCTTCCATTCATTTAATTTCCTTGTTTTGTTTCTTTAAAAAAAAAAAAAAAAAAAAAAGGGGGGGGGGGAAGAGGGACAACAGAAAAGTGATAGCTCAATTGCTAATTATGCATAGTTAAATATATAACGGAGGAATCTATTATTCAACTGAAATTTTGGCTGTGTTGGAGCTATGCACCCCAGAGTGCACTGCACTCTAGAAAGAACATAAAAATTGAAACATCAGAAACAGGTGCGCAGCTGAGATGTTGCAAGTCCCACTATGATGCTATAAAAGTGCACACTGGTTAACCAAATTAGGTTAAATGCTCCCCTATGTAAGGAAAAACTCCTGCTGAAGCTAACTGCGGGATTGGGTTTATGAAGCATACTAACAGTTTCATCCTTCTCTTTTTTGTCTTCTCCATCTTCTTTGCACTCTTCTTTCAGAGGTAATTTTGTTTTTCTTTTCCTAGTCCCTTTAGAATCATCTTCCTCATTGCATTCCACACCATCTTTATCCTCCTTTGGTTCTCTGTCATGAGAAAAAACATGGTGACATAAGAACCTACAACAATTCAACTCTTGCTTCCATGAACTTATGTGGAAGAATTAGGAAAAGGCAACTACCCTGAATGATAGGGAATGATAAGAAAAGCCAAGTGTTTGTAGGTCCCTAGGTATCATTCAAAATATATTCTTAGAACTACTACTGAAAAGGACAGCTGTCAAAAAAGTTAACACAGAAGACGTACAACAGTAATTGCAAAAGGAAAGTTGTCAGCCTATACTGAACAGATTCTGCATGTTTAAAACAATTTGTCTTTCCCGCCTGGCATCAAAACTCATAAAGAAGCAATTCTTTTGAAATACTTAAGACTGCAGGGCAGTTTACAGAAAAGAAAGAACTAGTAATTATTATGACTGACAAATCCAATTGGAATAAGCTGATATGTAACGGCACAAATTGTCAGTCAAGCAACCAAAAACAGACAGCTTTGAAGCAATTACTTAAAAATGAGGAAAAATGCTTTAGAACATAGATGTCAAATTGCCCTAGTGAAATGTACAATTCACAATGAGCATGTAATCAGAAATCTTCTTTTGTGATGTGATGAGCTGCATTAGTGCACCGCTGAAATGGAAAGAACTGAGGAACTGTCACAGGTTGGAGTTTGTCATATGTAATGTAGCTTTTGCACTTAAATATAATTAACTAACCACACCAACCACCTAATCGCTGAGCATCCTAATTCTAGTGATTATGAAACATTCTGCGAGTCTGACACTGATACTCTAGTCATCCAGACTAGAGAGGAGTTCTTCACTGTTTGTGTTCAACAGTAAAAGACAATATTTTCTGTGCAACTAACGAAGTCTTCAACACTTGCATTACACAAGATTCGAGCTCTCATATTCTATAGATATTTGGGACAAAAATATAAGTAGATATGAATAATTGAGAATTAAAGTCAGAAAATTCAGAGATTAGGTTGCCTCATTCTCACCCCACCTGACCCCACTACTGTTTTATCCCAATACTCTCTCTCGTCATGCTGCGTTTATGTCATATTCCTTGAGTGTATGCTTTATAATAGCACCTACTTGTTTTTGATGTGATGTGCACATTTCTGGCTGCAAAATTTCCCTTCAGGAACAAACTGTTCTGTGGTACCATCGTGATAACAGTTTTCACAGAAAATAAGCCCATCCACTTTTGTAGCTTCCTTCAACTTCAGGGGAATCCCAGTCTTTTCTGAAAAGGCTGCACAGTGAAAGGAAAAGAGTAATTTCTCCAAGCTACAGTACAAAAAGTAAGAAATTTCAAACCATACAACAGACCTTGCCAAGCAAAGGAAAGGTTCTACTTATGTCACTATCGTTAGCTGTAGAACCAATGGCTACCATTCATGATGGGTTACTGTTCCTCACTCCAAAGGGCTGGCTTTCAAAAGTAACACAGGTTTTAGCATGTTTCAGAGTAGCAGCCGTGTTAGTCTGTATCCGCAAAAAGAACAGGAGTACTTGTGGCACCTTAGAGACTAACAAATTTATTAGAGCATAAGCTTTCGTGGGCTACAACCCACTTCTTCTGTGTGCCAATGCTGTTTCTGTGGTTTCTGAAGAATTTGACCTTAAAACTCACATTAAAGCTAAATATGGGGGAAATAATGCAGAGTTTATTAGCAGTGCAGAAGTGAATGGAGTCAGGTGTATGGCATGGAGGGACACCGCAGCAGATATCACTTTGGTTAAAACAAGTCTTGTCAGGAAGGAAGATTATTTGCCAGGTGAAGATGTGACTGTTGTAGCCTTTTCTGAGTATTTTGTCAGGGTGCCTTTAGCTAAAATCCACCTGAAATGGAAGGGATTTGAGGGCACCATGGTTGTGGGAGTAAAAGACACAATCCCCAAGGATATTATGATTGGAAATGATATTAAAGCTATGGTCAGTCAAGTTAACACAAACCAGGCACAGGAGAGGATTAATCCTAAGGTTGTGCCTATGAAGGGTTTCTCCAAAAGTTTGTCTTTGGAAAGTAGCTGTTTGGCTGTGAATGAAGTTTCTGAATGTCTATCTAATGTCTCAGAAGTAAATCTGGAATTAGATCAAGCGAAGGGAGAGAAGAACAAGGAGATTTTGGATGAGCCTAGGCAGTCGTGTGAGCTGATGGCTTTATCTAGTCAGCAGTTTGGGAAGGCAAGGAGAGTGGAAGATGAGTGTCCCTATACCTTACCTGTTTCCTGTGTGAAGAAGAGTGACAGTGAAGGAAATGTGCCTGTATCTGTCAGGGGTATTGACTTGCCTATGGAGGAAGCTACCCCAGTCTCCAAGCAGTTGTCTGTGAACAGCCCGGTGTGCTGGGACAAGGGAAATGAAATCCCAAACGGTGTGTCAAGTAAAGGTAAATGTGTCTCCAACTCTTTTTTGTCGGTGGAGCAGACAGAAGGTGCCTTTCAGCCTGTGATGGTTGAGAGTAATTCAGTTGTCTCAGATTTGGTTCTGGATTCAACTAAAGCCCAGGAAGGGAATGGTCCTAAATTTGTGTCTGCTGGGGAGAATGGCACTGTAACTAGGTTGCATCCAGTTAGTGTCTTAGCAAAATCCCAGAGACCAGACAATTCGGGTGCTTGTATTTTGCCTGTTGCTCATGTGTGGTTGGAGAAGGGTGTAACAACTCTGTCTAATCGGGGTGATACCCTAGCCAGGGCACAAGGAAAGCAGAAAGGTAATTTGGTTGTGGTACCTACGGACAGTTTAACAACTTGTAGCAAAAAGGACAAAATTCCTAAGCTTGTGTGTGGCAAAGGAAAGGAGAATGCTTCTGACCTTTCATCTAATGAGTCTATGGGTTTGCCTGAAAGGGGATTGTGTAGAAATCTGCCTGATGGGCCAAAGGTGATCCTGAATGTAAGACAGGCCCAGACAGAGTCTGTTGTTGCTCAGGAAAGTGTTCCTTTAAAGCAAGCCCTAGGTAAAGGGGGTAAGGCCAAAATTTCTGTGAGAGGTGAATGGCTGCTTAGAAAAGCTCCTGGGGAAAGGAATCCTCATGGAAATCTGTGCAAGCAGTTCCCTGCAACTGAAGGGTGTGAGAGTGATTTAATCAAGGAAGTTTCAGTTCCTAACAGCCAGAAGTTGTCTGTTGTGAATGGATCCACTGACTCTCCTTTTAAAAGATCCAGTGTGGGTAGCTTTGAGAAGGTCTCAGATGGAGTAAGAGCTGTTAAGAAAGTTGAGCAGCCCTATGATCAAGTGGCTGTGTGGGGCCAACTGGTTGGGGAGACAATGGTGTTGGAACAGGAATGTCTCCATTCTGATTCTTTAAATGAGCAGTTTGTGCTTCAGGGTCTGAGGACAGATTTGGTTACTGATGTGTCAGAGCAGAGCAGTTTTATGGCTAAATGCTTGAGGATGCAGGGGAGAGCAAGCAAACTCTCACCCTCAGACTATTTAGATTTGTGTGGTATCTCTGTAAGACAGAGTCCAGCCTTGGAAATGATAGCAGTTACGAATATGAAAACTGGTGAACTGGCTCTGGTCTGGGGTAGTGCAAATTACTGGCCTGCAGGGGAGAGGAAGGACTTGCTAATAGCTGTTAGCACAGAGAGCCCACCCCATCAGCCAGTGAATTCTGTTAATCAAGAGAAATCCAGGTTTAATCCTGCAGGACAAGGAGGAAAGAAAAAACTGAATTTTGCAAAGGGAAGCCACAGGTTAACCCTAAAATGCCCAAACTCCAATGGTATTGAGCCAAAGCTGTGGCATGACAAACATGATTGTAGATGGACACTTGCAGTAAACTTGTTATTGCTAATGGTAAATTTTGTAATAAATGTGTTGCTATTGCCACAAGCTGTAAAAATGTACAATGTGCCTAATCTTTTGGAGAATCCCTTGAACATGTTAAAAGGACTACATGAGAACACACGTTATGTTAAAAGGCCTTGTTACACTGATGTTTCACAGTTAATGCCTGTAAACAATATTGGAACTTTTCACAGGGAAAAAGACATTCCAGACCTAATGTGCTGTGTGAAAAGGAAGACTGAGGCACACAACCATATTGCTTTCATGGCTAAATGCCAAGATTCCTGTACTATGAAAACCATTAATATCTGCATTTATTTAACGTTAATTGGGTTCCAAACATTTGCCCGAGCTTGGATAAATAAAGTAGCTGTTTGCGTCAGCTCTTGGCAAGATCACATGAGACATACAGGAACCATGCTGCAAGAGCAGATCCAATCCACTATTGTTCTAACTAAGTTTTACCTTGAGTTTGTAAAGAGATTCAATCATGTTGTTGAACATGACTTTGATAAACCATTTCTGTTATACACTGGTATGGCTTCTAACCCAATACTAGCTGTAGTGAGACAGACCCAAGGATGGGGAGCTCTTGGGATGCAGTCAGTGATGTTTGTGTCATCCCTTCCTGCATCAATTTTGCGTTGGGGGTGTGACGTTATTGACATAAACTGGGACCATATAGATCATTGTTGCAATCAAGGTCCTGTAGTGGCACCCAAATCTTGTATAAAGGGGGTCAAATGGGGTGTCTAAGACAAGGTTATGGTTTACTGGTTATGATTAGGCTGTCTATATGTGTGTATCAGTTTTGTAGTTGAAGTTATTATTATGGCTCTATACTGTCTGTATGACAAACTTATGCTATGCTGCTGGGTGACATCCCAGACAAACTGGGATTAGCTCTGCCTAGCCTGCTTGATGGCCCATTAAGGACCATCAGCTATACAATGGACTCATTGAGAGAAGGCAAATATGCCTTCAGACTCAGCAAAGTATGCAGGGACTGGCCCATGTGACTCCAGGCCCCATTTTGCTGTAATTTTCCACAGTGAGAACAAAGAGGTGTTCTTACACCTGGAAAAGACTATATAAAGCCTGGTCTACACTACGAGTTTAGGTCGACTTTAGCCGCGTTAAATCGACTTAAGCCTGGACACGTTTACACTACGAAGCCCTTTCTGTCGACTTAAAGGGCCCTTTAAACCGGTTTCCTAACACCACCTCGACAAGGGGATTAGCGATAAAATCGACCTTAGGGGGTCGGAATTGGGTTAGTGTGGACGGAATTCGACATTACTGGCCTCCGGGAGCTATCCCACAGTGCTTCATTGTGACCGCTCTGGACAGCACTCTCATCTCAGATGCACTGGCCAGGTAGACAGGAAAAGCCCCGCGAACGTTTGAATTTCATTTCCTGTTTGCTCAGCGTGGAGAGCACAGGTGACCATGCAGAGCTCATCAGCACAGGTAACCATGATGGAGTCCCAGTCCCAGGATCGCAGAAGAGCTCCAGCCTGGACCGAACGGGAGGTACAGGATCTGATCGCCATCTGGGGAGATGAAGCAGTGCTCGCCGAACTCCGAAACAGTAAAAGAAACGGCAAAACATTAGAAAAGATCTCCAAGGCCATGAAGGACAGAGGCCATAACAGGGACGCGCGGCAGTGCCGCGTGAAAATTAAGGAGCTAAGGCAAGCCTACCACAAAGTCAGAGACGCAAACGGAAGGTCCGGGGCAGAGCCGCAAACATGCCGCTACTACGCGGAGCTGCATGCCATTCTAGGGGGTGCAGCCACCACTAGCCCAAGCGTGTTCTATGAGTCCCTCTCTGCAAACGGGGAAGCGGGTTCGGCGGACGAGGAAGATGAGGATGGAGAGAACATAGATAGCTCACAGCAGCAAGGAAGCGGAGAAACCAGTTACCCCAACAGCCAGGATATGTTTGTCACCCTGGACCTGGAAACAGTAACCCCCGAACTGACCCAAGACCCTGAGGGCACACAGGGGACCTCTGGTGAGTGTACCTTTGTAAATATTACACATGGTTTAAAAACAAGCGTGTTTAATGATTAATGATTAATCTGCCCTGGCAATCGCGGCCAGTACAGCTACTGGAAAAGTCTGTTAACGTGTATGGGGATGGAGCGGAAATCCTCCAGGGACATCTCCAGAAAGCTCTCCTTCATGTAATCCCAAAGCCTTTGCAAAAGGTTTCTGGGGAGGGCTGCCTTATCCCGTCCGCCATGGTAGGACACTTTACCACGCCAGGCCAGTAGCACGTAGTCTGGAATCATTGCATAACAAAGCATGGCAGCGTATGGTCCCGGTGTTTGCTGGCATGCAGACAACATCCATTCCTTATCGCTCTTTGTTATCCTCAGGAGAGTGATATCATTCACGGTCACCTGGTTGAAATGGGGCAATTTTATTAAGGGGACATTCAGAGGTGCCCC